TGGATTCATCATCCGCACCATTGGTGACTACAAGCAACCTCAACCATGTCTATTAGTTTCAAAAATGCTTTATTTGGACACGCGTTAGTAGAATTGGCACTGTGAGTGATGAATATTTCACTAGCACAATGCAATGCAAAGGACACGGAAAAAGTGGGGGTATGGTGGTGCAGTGCACGTTCTCCCATTTATGGACCATTGCGTTGACGCCTACCACGGTTAGTAAACGAATGAGGGCTGATGCTGCGTGTAACTGAAAAGTGCTTACCATGTTGTTGGTGTGATCGTTCATTCAGTCACCACTTGGAGCATTTGCAAGCAACTACTGAGACACGCAATAGTGAGTGCACGATAGCTCAATTTGGTGACGACTAGCTCAGCACTGTGAGTCTTCTTCACCTTACACAATACAATCCGCTGTAGCATCGGAAGAAGGGAATATCCGTGGCATCAAATGAGATCAGGATTCTTCATTTATTATTGTTTCCGTTTGAGTTTGGCTTAAGCTACCTTGCACAGTGCTCCCCATCATTCCACTTTATGTGCTACAATACGTGGAAGCTGGATTAATGCTTGCCTAAAAACGTAATACTACATGTACGCTTTCCTTCATCGGAATTTTGTTCTGCCTCTGGATACCCAGAATATTCAAAGCACTTAAACGGTTGGCGTAACTTAGTGAAGTGGACAACATCTGCGCATGCTGGGATATATTTACCGGGGATTCGCAAACGTAGTTCTCACTGACTTGCGCAATAACCGTTTTTGATGGCCTTATTTCCTTCTCGACTTCATTCAACACACGCCTGACACCTAACCCTACAGCCCAATTGTTCTTTAACGCCATTTCGAACAGTTGACTGCTACCGCGTTCTCCTTCTTGAAGCAAATTTGACCCTGAAAGTTGTCATCCTTCATTATGACCGTCTCGAAATAGCCACCATTTTACAACAAACTGCTTCGATGAATTCACACACTTGACACTGTCAAGCTCGTGCAGCTAATTGCCATTCGTGCGTGGAATCGTACGAAGCCTTCTGTCGACGAATAAGCCATCAGGCTGAACAGGTGTCAGCAACCTAGATTGGTGCCGCATAAGCCTGAACACAGGTGGACGTGTTTCTTGACCCTTGGTTGAGACAGTCCAAACTCTCTACACGAGGTCATGCCTTAGTCGTTTTAATAAAAAATATTGAAAATTTCATTATTTAAAGGGCACTTACCTTCAACTTTTTGCACTTAAGTTTTGTGACTAGTGACCAGAGCATCAGTTCATGGCTACTAAAATCGTGTTGAAATCAACAAGACTGTAGGAGATTCAGCCTTGCCCAGGACGGCTCATCGTAGGTTAGGATTTCGGAATCGTTTACATGATTGCCCTAACCACACCACTTCAGTGGGGTAGTCACCCACGGCTCATGCAGGCAGCTCACTTGACCACTGGCTGAGACATCAAAAATTCCCTTCACGGGTCTTGTCTTGTCTCACATCAGAGCGGGGAGGTGGGGCCGAGGGTGAGACTAGGGATTTAGGCACCGTTAAACTGAGTTTGTGGTATTCTTGCTACGGGTAAAACGCATCAACTGCACATTTGGAGCTTATAAGCAATTACGGCAATTTGTGCATCACTCAGGATTCGTGAAGGCATGCGCATCAAATTTGGAAAATTAAACAGACCGGATAAGCCAGGGAACAGATGCCTCCTCGTTTTCCTGCAAGGCATTCGCAGTGTATGAAGCACAACGCGTAATGGGGTCAAATAATCTGGGTTCAATGTAAAGACGTGTGATAAGTGAGAACCTCGATGCAATTACGTCTCAACTGGGCACTTGAGAGAGAAAACATTCCCAGTAATCTTATGACAAGTCAACACAGCTACTCTAGAACAACGAAACACAGCAACCACCATTCTACTGTCCACCGCATTCGAACATTGCAAAGTGGATGGGTGGGTATGAGAGTGGGAGTTGGAATGAGCACATCTGAGTGTGTTTTGTTCTTCGCATCATCTTCGCACACTCACTCACTCACTCACTCACCAACCCACTTTGAAACATTCAAGTTATGTGGGCGTTCAAATGGTTTTTGTGAGTTTTCGTGCTGAAACACCTGTAGTGGCTTTAAGTGGCATTCACGCCATGCGTTAAGCTCATCCGATGCATCAGGTGAACAAGCATTATATCGAGGTTAACTTTTGGATTTAACTCAATATGAACTACGTGTACCACGGCTGATAGCTGGTGGTCGACAGTAGACGCCAACTTACTCTGCGGTAAGTAGGGCACCAGGTGTTCGTCGATGGCCTTCTCTCTTCCACGACTTCACTCGACACATGCCAGCCACAAGCACACATACCCTACAACACTACTGCGGCAGAATGACCGTGCGCTTGGTGCACCACTGTTGCCTTCTCTTTCTTAAAGCCAGTTTGATTATTCGGGTGAACATAGCAGTGTGCGAGCAAATGTATGCGCTTTCCGCCACAGCCTTCAAAGTGTCCATATTTCAATGTGACCGTGAGAACATGGCTGGACTTTCAGTCACTGGTCACGCCAGCATCGCAGAACAGGCCGCGCCACGGGCGTCGGGAACCAGGTCTGCTCCAGTGACTGTGGTGGCTTGGTTCAACTCCGTGGTGGAAAATTAGTGCAACATCACCTGCCGCAGGGCAACTCTCAATGACTCAGGTCTCGAATCTTCTAGGTCCAGTTGGGTCTACACTTCTTGGTTGCACCAATATCCCCACCAACTCCATCTGCAAAGTCCAGCAGTCTACACGAACACGCACGTGACCACCGAAGTGTGTGCGTAATTATGGCCACGTCCACTTACGGCAGCACTTCACGGTGGTCGGCGCCTACCGTTCTCGCCTCACCAGCCCCCTACCGCCACACTCAACAGGAGACAGCCTCGGGCCACACGCCACCACAGACTATCCGCTGCGTCTCAAAAAGGTGACCTATGCGTCCGGTGGTTTAAACAGTGCACCACCATCGCCGCCGCCATCACCAACACTACTACCACCACGATAAACAAGTCATAAGAGAAACGCCGTGGTTTACAAGAGCTGAATCCACCCAACCGCCACACTTATGTGCCCTCTGCCTTTAATCTCTGTACTCACTAACCATCCTCTCTGTCATTACAAACACCACGGACACACTGACGCACCCACCACCAGCACAAGTGTCCAAGGTCCTCGACATACCTATGTACACACCTTCCCAACACAAAACAAAACGTTTTTACTTATCAGCTCAACTTCCAGCGTTTCGCAACAGTTCTCATAAACACTTGAAGATTACGCATTAAAAACGCCAGGTTAAGTGTTATTATGTTTAAATCAGCCACAATAATCGAAATCACGGAGAGAGTACATGACAGAAGAAGAACAAAGACCAATTAGCGTTATTGCATCAACTGAAATATGGATGGTACAGATTCGCGCGATTTGTATCATCGGCCTCTTGATCACTAGAATTCGTATTAAAACTCCCTCTTGCGTACCATGCCCAACATCACTGGTGCGTTGTTGCTATCACAAGCACCACCACCACCAGCAGCAGCAGCGTTGGCACTGTCTGTCACCTTCTGCTCGTCTTCAGATGACGTGCTGCCAATCGATGACCTACCATTCGATGGGAAATGGCATAATTAATCAATTCTGCATCACGCAAGTGCATTAACCCAACAGCACATTTACACGATTCTCAAAACATTTATAAACCTACACACTGAAGCTTAGCTTTACCACGATCAAGTATACACACACACATACAGATGCCGTCGGTGGAGATACACCACAACAGATGAACTTAGGTGAAAACATTCGCGAACAATCAAACTTGACAAACGCATGGTGTTGTCAATGTCATTACTCAATAAGAAGCGACTAGCAAGACATGTGATGCCGACACACACACACACACACAGAGAGAACACGATGGAGTTCGCTCAAAGACTCCTTGACGCTACTGCTTCATTCTGAAGAAGCACTTTATTTGCCAGTGGCATCTTGCATGGCTTTATCACATTCATGTCAATTTACTTGCCCTGGGCAATTCAATTCAGCCGCATTCTTCGACTGAGACTTCGTCGTCGAAGGAGCAGCCTCGCAATCTGGCGCAGCAGTCGAACAAGCAGCGCAGGCATTACCAGATGCCTTCTTCATGTCTTCAGGTAACATCTTACGAGTCAACAACCTGAAATTCAAGAAATAAGCAAAATGGAACAACTGAGCATCATGGAACTCCATTAACCCCATGACACGTTACCTCATAAAATAACTCCTTCATGTACCTCCACATAAAAACCTCAGCTTCACCACAACCACCCACACACAGACAAGCGCTGACCTACCACAAAATGTGCACCCCAATGAAAGCACTTCAAAATATCAAACCTAACCACCGTGTCGTGTTACAAATGTCACCACTCAACGAAAAAAGATTAACCAGACATGCGATGAATTATACATATCGGACGAGATCAGTCATAATTAAGGTGCTTTTTAGCGACCATTAGTAACACAGAATCTCGTACACTTGCCTGTTAGTAGCAACAAATGATAGGTTCACTACACCTCACAATTTTTGATAAATGAATGTGGGAATTGGTTTAATAAGAGGTACATGTCGCTATTTAGTAAATTTATCTAAAAGATTCGAGGACGGCGTATATTCTACATTCCTTTTGCATTAAGACGTTTGTAACTCTACATTAATTACCTGCAGCATAAAAAGAGGGAGGAATATGCAAATTCAATCGTCCGGTTACATTTCCCAACAATTACTGAATTGGGACAATGCATTTACGCAGCCATGACAAAGCACAACAAATTGGTGTAGAACATTATGCCTAACGTATCCAGTACAGACCGTCGGTCTGTGGTTGGACAAAAATGCATCTTTATAAGTGGCCACAAAGCTCCTGCACACACAATTGAAGAACACTTGACTGTTTACCTCGTCCCACTATACAAACAAACAATCAAACCAACTACTATATTACTTAAAGCAAGAACACCACACAAAAATCAAGCATAATACGAACATCGCTTACAAAATACACCTACCTCCGAAGAATGGAATGTACGAAATTGGCGATGTTCTCATTTATATACACCATCTGTCCACTTAAAGAAAATTCAATGCCAAATATTAAAGTATGCAAAATGCGTTGCTGACAGTATTTTGTGACGTTTCGGTTTTTTTAAATTATTGATACAAAGACGGTTAACAGTATTGTCGAAGAGGAAAATTGGACAACTTCGTGTGGGTGAGTCATGTGTCAACGATTATCCAGGGTTTATTTCACTGCTTTTTATTTAGTGCAGTGATGCATTTGCATTTAGTTGGTAACACTTATTCATGGGGACCTACTTTCATTCACTGAATTCGCGATTGGACGAATTACTCCTCCCCCACAATATTTTCCACAAAATCATATCCATACATCATGTGATCAGATACTTACGTCGTATGATCACTGTGTGGCTAATGCAGCCTCTCGTGATCAGCAAAGTCACAGCAAACCCTCTCGGATGGATGTATATTGGTGGCGAATCATCAGCGATCGCGCGTGAATGAAGCCTGTTTACTGATTTGATGGTGTGAATAACCATATTTGGTGACTCGGACGAACCGAACCTCTGCACTACGCAACACTCTGCATTTGATGTTAATGCAGCAAAGTCGACCGGCTCAATAGTTCGTAATCCGGGCATATTTTCATTCCAGATGTGCGCTTCCGTCATGAGCATAAAAATTTAGTAGGACCACTTCCGCCGTCTCGTCGCTTAAATTGTATCCTCGCTTGTGAGGACCGTATTAGCCGTTGGCTATGCTTTTGTCATTAGAAACAATATAATTGAAACTGTTGCTGTTTCGTTTATGGAATCAGGCGCTTCGCCATTCGGTGATTCCATTTCTAAAACATCTGATCGTGGAGCACAATTCACAGCTTGCATGTTTTAGGATCAAACCCGCCTTCTTGGCTGCAAACATTCTCGTACCACAGAAAATCACGCAGCAGTCAATGGCTTGTTTGAGCCGTTTCACCGTCAACTGAAATCGGCCAAAATTGCTGAAGCCGCGTAAATTAACATGTTTGATGCATTGTCTTTGATTTCGTTGACTATCAGCAATTCGTTAAGGAAAAATTTTCAGCCTCTCCATCAAAACTTGTTTCTGATACAAAGTTGCACCTGTCCGGTGAAGTGGTTACAATTTCTGACATTATTGTTTATACTTCGATCAGTTGGCGTGCTTCCTGAAGGGAATACGTCCGACCTCCACATGACCTTCCCCACGACAAGCACTTATTCACTTCTCCTTGTGCCGCTATTTGCGTTGATGGCGTCAAAATACCCTTACATCCACCCTATGATGGTCCCATTAAGATGGCCAAACACAAAGACAATTTGATTAAATGTGTCGAAATGGATCGGTGGATAGTGTGGGCGTAGAGCGTCTCAAGTTTGCTCACATGGACTACTGAAATGTTCCTTCCCCAAATACAAACAACGACGTACACAGCCTACACTCTCCCTGGCCTACCTCCCGTGTTGACTGATTCCTGAGACCTGCAACCTGCTCTGCTGATTGCATTTGATAATTTTTGAGCGTTTATTGCTTCTCGGCAAGCTTTACTTATCGGGGAAGATTTGTGGCGGAGTGTCAGCCATCGGACGTGAGTGAAGTTTATTCACTACAAAGATGGCATGCCGATTTGCTCTCTTCATCTGCTGATGCATAATCGTGCATTGAAATTTGTCATATGCAGAATTGTCGTCAGGTTTGTGAACAGTGGTTAAGATACAACCTGAACACCCTATAATTGGCCACAACGCAGTAAATGCGATCATCGAATCTGATTGAAGTAGCATTAAGTGCAGCAGATTAAAATTACTTCACTTGCATTCAGGTGATTGAGAAGGAGAAACACG